CGGACCACGTGTCAGGGGCGGAAAATGGCCACGGACCACGTGTCAGGGGCGGAAAAATGCCCGTGGACCATGTCACGGGAGGGAAAATGGCTGCGTATCCTGTTCGTACCTCGAGGCGGAGTTCACAAACCGAGGTAAATTTTTGCAGCCGGAGCTGGTCGTAACCTGAAAAGTTCGTTAACAGAGGCGTTCGTAACCCGAGGTACCACTGTATATACCTCCAACCTGACGGGCAACAATCTGTTGGCTTGCAAAGTAAACTCTAGATTAGAGATCCTAGCTTCCATAGAATAGCATGATTATGCTAGGGGTAAAACTGGGCTTTCATTGGGCTTCTGGGAATACTTGCCAAAATATTTATCAATACTGTTGAGTATCATTATCAGGAATGCTTCATGTGGCATGGGTATGACTAAGGCAGGTAATCTAGTCTACATTTTCAATTTTATTAAATATCATTATATGGAAGCTTTTATTAACCAAAGACCTGATGGATGGAAACATCCCTCCATTCCCCACCCCTTATTGGTTATGCCCATGGCATATGAAGGATTGCATCTTGGAATGTAAGTGCTATAATTAGTAACAAGCATGAATTAACTGATGAATGAAGGAAATAAAAATAATTATGTTGAGTGTCTGTGAAATTAGCAGAAAGGGGAAGCTATAACAGTTTTGAATTAAGGTGATTTATTATTGTGGGGTCAATGAATGCATACAGGGAAGTGAATGTATAGCTTAATTAGAAATGAAAGTGCTAAAAGAACACCAGAAAATATGAACTGGTACCATCTAGATTGCTACAGGAATGCATGAAAGTAAGAATCTATAGGTTGGGGATAATTGCAAGCCAGAGAATAGTACTAATTAAAAAAAAAAACTACAAATGAATTTAGGGGACAATTGTGCGGTATTCTGAATGAATGCAATCAAAAGAAAATGTTATTCTGCTGGGTGAGCTGGATGAATAGGTGGGAATGAGATGAAAGAGTACAGAAAAAGTGGGCCCATTAGAACAACAAAGAAAGAATGAGAAATGTCACCAATGAGTCTCTGTCTCAAAAAAAGGGTTGTTTCTTTCAAATACGTGGTTTAAACCTAAGTTTGACCATATATACAAAGGAATGAATATAAATTTTTTAAAAAATTTACTTTTTTTATTATGGAAGATTGTGAAGGATATTAGATTATGAAAGGTTCTTCAGGTGAACAAACCAGTAGTGTCAATGGATCTTGAGGAAAAATGGACATGAAAGAAAGACATGAAATACACAGAAGCAGAACGTGAAAATATAAGGCCTTCTATGAAAAAGTATTATAAACTCGCCAAAGAATGAATGGAAATGTTCATAAGGAAATAGGATATGGAAGCTGCCTGGAATAGAGTGGAAAAGTAATATTTTATAGAGCACTACATAACCATGTGGAGTTATGCTAAGTGGAAGAGTGAAAAATTTGTTTGGAGGAACAATGAAGCCAAGGAAACAAATAAGAAAAAATGCACAGAAGAATGATTGCTGCAATAAAAAATGAGGAAGAGAAAGATATACAAAGTGTACACATAGAAAATGATATGTAGTAAGAAAAAAAAAGGAACACCTAAAATTTAAAAAAGCACAAAAAATGAAAAACAAGTTCAATGAAAATGAATGGACTGGCAGCATTACTTGTGTAATTTGTGTGCTAAAACTGCATGGTGCCAGTTGACTGGAAGAATGCTGCTGCTCTTCTATACCAGTGTTGTCCAAACTTGGCCACTTTAAGATGAGTGGAATTCTGGGAGTTGAAGTCCACTCATTTTAAAGTGGCCAAGTTTGGACAACACTGTCCTATACAAAGAAAAGGTAGCAAGGGAGCATATAAAAACTACAGAAGGATCAGTCTGCATGTTTGCATGTACAGAGGGATCAGTTTGGGAAGATTTTTTAAAAACTAGTCAAGGTATTAATGTTTTTAATATTATTCTTTAAGAATTGCAAGCCAGTTCTTAATTCCCAAGCTTTCTGTACAATATTTGGATGTATATCACCTCAAGCTCTTAAATGAAAGGTGAGATTTATATTTAACAAATTTAAAAATAATGATACAGCTATTTCTAAAAGTATGCATCCTGAGGTAGACTGAGTGAACTGTGCAGGAATTAACAATATGAAATGGCCCCTTCATATCTACGGTATTTGTCCATGTAACACTCTATTGCATATTCTGGTTCAGAAGGGCTCTCTTATGTGTCTGGAGGAATCCTTCCCAACATTGCTAGATCAGGGTTTCTCAATATTGGCAATTTTAAGATGTGTCGACTTCAACTCCTAGATACTGGCTGGGGAATTCTGGTAGTTGAAGTCCACACATCTTAACATTGCCAAGGTTGAAAAACTTTGTGCTAGATTATTATTTTTACTGGTCAGCATTTAACATAGGATTTCCTTCGGTTTTGCTAGCTATTCTCAAAGTTTTTATGAGCTCATCACACTATATGATTTCTTTCTAAGTTATAGCCTTAACAGGTAGCAGTGCCTGGCTTACTTTGGCCTTGAAAGTTTAGCAGCATCTACTCTGATTAAACTTTGGATGAGACACCATGATGGAATTTGCCCCAGGCATTGTGGGTTGGACCTTTCAGTAGTACATGCTATGAACTGTCTTAAGGCAAGTGCTCCAGCACTGGTGACTTACAATTAATAAAATCACTTGATTTTATTAACTGCATTTCCTATTCTGGCTTTCCTATCTAAAAAAACAGCAGTAGGGTTGCTTGGTGCTGTATGCAGCAAAGGTACTGAACTGCTCACTACAAGTTTGCAAAGGAGATGTCATGGTAGCAGCAGAGGAAAAAATGTCTCCTTTTCAGTGCATCGTTCAAATGAACAGGACAAGGAGTTATAAATGTGAAGTTGGGGGAAGTAATATTGGAGATTCAGGGAGGCATACTCAGTGTTGTTAAGAAGTTGGATTTATTAATATAACTGGGCACATATTTTAAAAATGCATTAAAAACCAGTGTATTGCTATTCCCTTTTTACACATTCCACCATATTAAAATAGCAAGATGTCCATTCACCATCAATATCTTCCCCTTTTGTTGGTTGCAGAAAACCTTTAAAATTCGACTTTCAGCCACTATGCTAAAACTGCAGACTCATTTCTAGTGGGAAAAGACGGGTGTTTTGTTCCATGACATACCCGTTCCAGGATGGAGAAATGG